TTTCTCCTATAGCCCAAAACGCCACAGACCCTTAAGCTTGTGTCCCTGTGTCCAGGAGGCCACAGGTTCCACACAGCCAGCTGCTGCTGGATCGATCTTTCTGAAAGGCAGCAGAATGGCAGGGTGGTGCGGTGGGTGGCCCATGAGACAGAAGCAGGCCTTGGCTGCCTGCCCTGGCCCTGCCAATGGCCATCTTAGTCTCTTAGAATCAATTCAAATACATCCACATGAGTGTGTGCTGTTGCTATTTTGCTTGTGTCTTCCTTACTAGACTAGATGTTCCTTGAAAGCCATGACCTTGACCTTGTCGTCCTCAGCTGTGTGGCCCTTGGCATCTACTACATGAGAGGCACTCAATCCATGACTGTTCAGTGAATGTATGAACTCAGAAAGGTCTAGCATTTATTAAGTACCTACTGCCATCAGGCACAATGAGAGCCATTTTCCTTATGTCATTTCCCAACTCATCACACTCAATAGGTATTATACTCACTCAGCCCGTGAGGACTTTGTGGCCACTAATTTCTAGCTAAGATGCCCAAAGCCTACGGGATTCAGTGGCTAGTGGGTCTGGGCTGTTTGACAGCCCCGGTTTCCCTGCTTCCTTGTTGCTGTGGTCATTCTGGCCGGCGGATGAGCAGGCCGGCTCATCTGTCCCCTGAGAGACCCCTGCCAAAGCCAGGCTGCCTGGCAGACGCGGCCACTCACGCTCTGTGATTCATTAGACCTCACACGCTCTGCTGCTTTTCAGGCGACCAGGAAGGGAGCAGCTGCTGTGACTCCCCAGCCGCCTTTTTCCTGCCTCTGAGCGCTTGCGAGCAGGCGGCTGCTCCCGCGAGGCGGCACGACAGACGCGCAGCCTGCTCACGACTCAGTGGTTTCCGGGGGACCCAGCGGCGTCTGCCTTGTCATTCCTCAGCCCACTCCTCTGAGTCAGGCTCTCCCCAGCCGCCTTTATTATTACAACTTCCTGCCCGTTACTACAAACAACAAATGCTGTTTTCCAAACAGAGGTCCCCAAACCACCATCTTCTGTTCGGAGAGCGAGCCAGCCCCGCAAGCCAGCCCTGCTTGGCATTATCACAGTGACATGGCTGGGATATCACCGTACTCCCCCGCTGCTCTGAGCACTGTGCTATGAGGTCATCTCTGACATGAACGGGAATGAGCTTTCCATGAGGCAAACAGCTGAATATCTCAAATTGAAAGATTCTTGAGACTGCTAATGACCCAGTAATTAGAGAGCAGACAAATCTCCATCCTTTGTGATCCCCAACTCTGAGCAGAGCAAAGCAGATTAGGATATTAAACAACAGACCCTTGTGTTGGCGTTATTCTCAGAGTGTGCAAAACCCTTCCTTCCTTCATCGCATCGACCCCATAACAGCATGTGGGCAGGGCTACAGCCCTGCAGATGGAATTACAGATGGGAAACTGAGGCTTGTGGGGGATGGGATTTGCCTGAAGCCAGAGAGCTCGTTCATGGAATGTCTCCAGGGGAGGGCTGTTTTGTACGCCAGCACCCCTAGGGTCCTAACAAATGGGGCGTATTCAAAATATGCTCACTGATCTGCTGATGGAATGGTGAGAGAGGATTTAAATTCAGGGCTTCCAATTCCCAGTATAAAAACATTTCTGCTGCACTACCACGGCCTAGTTGACCTCTTACAGCAAAGGATGAAAATAGTCTGAAGCCAGGCTGGCCAGGTTCAGACCCTTTCCATCTCGTCCAGCCTGTGACCTTGGGCAGGTTGTTTGACCTCACTGAGTTTCCTCATCTGTACAATGGGTGATATTAACAATAACCTGATGCATTGTGGTGTTGTATATTCAATAAGAAAATGCCTGTAAAGTGCACAGCAGTGGAATGGCCAGTAGGTCTAGGAAGTGCTAAATATTAATAAATGTGGGCAATAATTATGATTACTCAAGTGTAGGGACTGGGCCTCATATACCTTTGTAACCCAGGACCTAATACTGTGAGTGGCACAGACACATGAGTGCAGGACGTGACACTCGCCCACCAAGAATGGAGCCCATCATGGGATTTGGAGCAAGTCCCTTCCCATCCTGGGCTTCAGTTCCCACACCTGTAAATCGAGGAGGCTAAACCAGGTAAATCCCATGGTTCTTCCTCCCAGCTTTAAAATGTTCCATCTAGTTCAGCGGTTTTTGATGGGAGTGAGTTTGCCCCTCAGGGGACATTTGACAAAGTCTGGAGACGTTTTTGATTGTCACAACTGGGGAATGGGCAACTGGCCTGTAGGTGGGCAGAGGCCTGGGATGCAGGTACAATGCACAGGACAGGCCCCCCCAAGAACTGTTCTGTCCCCAGTGGCAGTCACGCTGAGGCTGAGACACTAGCTCTATACACACACCCACAGCTCTTGGATTTGCTGGGCAGGTGCCTGGCGTCTCACGGCTTGCTGAGGCACCCAGGGGACCAGCGCCTCGGGGTGGTGGGGCACCTGTGGATTGCCTCCTCAGCCGCCACCTTCCACCCTCACCACACTGATCTCCTTGGAGAGGGGAGGCTGGCCCAGGCATCTTTAATTTAAATCTGGAATCACTCCTGTTCACACCACACTGCTCAATGGCTCTGCCAGGGCTGGGGGAGAACATTTTCCTGCCCGAGGTGCACAAAGCTCCGGCCTAAGATGAAGCCTCTGTAAACAGATGTAGGGGAGGTACAGTCCCAGGCAAAGCCGTCAAGTTGCTGGATTTGCCCCGCTTAACCTCACTCCCTCTAGAGGGCAGAGCAGCTCTTCTGGTGATGGAAGAGTCGCCTTGGGAAGAGGGTGCAGCTGCCAGCAGCTTTGCAGTTCTTTTAAGGCCAGCAGGGTGGACCTTGAGACCTGTGGCCATGGTCATGGCCTGCCCATACCTCCTGTCCTCACCACCCATGGAGGGAAGACTGCCCCGGTGGCACGAACATTGCATTTCCCCCAGCTTATTTCTCTTGAGGGACCAAAGAATCTAAATCATCTTGGTTTTTGTTGTTGTTGTTGTTGTTTGTTTCTTTTACAAGGTTCTTTCACCTTTCCTCTTATCTTTTCCAAGCCCACCTGCTTTTCCCTTAGTTCTTGCTGAGAGCACAAACGAAGAGAAGGGAGACCTGGAGCACAGTTTGGAACAAGTCCCTTCCTATGACCTCTTTCTGCCTCAGTTTTCTCATCTGTTAAATGGGGATTCACTCTGTAGCTATGAGCACAGGAAAGAGGGGAACACCCTTTACATGCCCCTGAGGATAATCATGCCTGAAGGTGTACTTGCTTCCTCGCCATGCTGCTTAGGAGCCCAGAGACCTAGAGTCTGATGCAAGGGAAACAGGCACCATCAGGCAGGAGGTGCTGAACCCCCCTGGCACCTTTCCTCCCACGCTCATGGATATTCTCAGCCTGCCCTTCAGGGAGATCCCCAGCAGCCTGAGCAGCACTCCCTGCTTTCCACCAGGCCTGGTGGGAGGAGTGCTGAGAGCGTAAGTCACAATAAGCAGCTCATGAGTTTGGGCAAATGCCTACAGGATGGCGCCACTGCCCCAATCACAGACGGCAGGCCTTCCCTCCCGGGCTCCTCGCTGGAAAGGGAGGTTGTGCTGGAGGGAGGCATGGTGCCAGAGGACAGCTCCTCCCAAAGAGTAGGCAGCCCAGACACCCAATACTCCTGACATCTGGTAAGCAGAACAAGAGGCCCTTGGTGGCTGGGACCCTCCCAGCCAGCCCAAAGAAGCTTTCAGAGGCAAAAAGATAGAATATGAGGGATGGGGAGAGCATTCTTCCTGATGCCAAGATGTCATTCTTGCTGGGATTGCAGCAGCTTGCAGTTCTTTCAAGCACAATTAAATACAGATGGGTTAGTAGCGGGAGTGGGGAGGAGACGCTCAAGATATTACCAAGGAGGCCCCACAGCTTTACTGGCTCTCCCTGTATACCTGGGGGGTATGGAAGTTGGGGAACAGTCATCATTCAAGTGGGACCCCTCTATAAAAGTATTTTCTTAGAGAGAAGCTAAGTCTAAGCACAGCCATCCATTTGGCTCCTGCACACATGTCATGAAGAAGGAATCGTCGCCCTTGTTTGTAATGTAATCAGATCTGGGGCACCTCAAAGCTGGGGTCATAGGATAGTGCCTACACTTATGGAATAGGGAAAAAGGAAGACACAGGGATGCCCTAGCTTACGTTTGCTTTCCATTGTCACTACTTGTAGAGAGCAGCGGTTCCTAACCTTTTTAGTGCCAGGGATCATTTTCATGGAAGACAACTTTTCCATGGACTGGTGTGGGGAAGGATGATTTTTGGGACGATTCAAGCACATTACATTTATTGTGCACTTTATTTCTATTATTATTACATTGTAACATATAATGAGATAATTACACAACTCACGAAAGGTTGGGGACCCTTGTTGCAGAGGCCTGATGGATTTCTGAGTGAGCAAGTGTATCCAGAAAGCTTAGAGGGTCCCACTGTCATATACCTTGGAAGTTCTAGGACAAAGGTCTGTTCCACTCTCTATTGAATTGATATTAGTGCAGTATCCTTGACTAATTCTGCTCTAGGGTTCCATACTTTCATAGCACTACTTGTGTGGCCAAAATATTTTGTCCTTTCCCTTCCTGCCCAAGTTCTGCTGGTAAAACCTAGTTTCCAGCATATTAAATTACTTTCATTTTGGCCTTTTGACACTTCCCTTGGGCTGTTTTCTTCTTGGCTCTGTCTGAACTTTAGGAAATGAATATTTTTAACACCCACTCATTAAATGCCCACTCTGACAGCTGGGCCTCTGGCCTCTGGAAGGACCACTAGCCAGGTGGTCAGAGGGACCCACAGATCAATACCTGAATACTACCTAGGGAATATTAGCAGTAATGGCTCAATCTGGGCCTACCCATTACATGACAATTGTGAATTTAAGTAGATGTCACAGACTCTGGAAATTTGTAGCCAAAAGTTAAATTACCTTTTATCAAATCAGTTCTGGGCATGGGGAAGGACTTACCCATGCTTCCCTGGAGTGGGCACCAGGACGATCTCTCTTCCGGCCTCGTTGTGGGGCAGCAGCCGGGCGACGTACCGCCCTGAGGGCTGCAGGTGCCTGTGCACGGAGACGGCCAGCGTGCAGCGCTCACTGCTGCTCCGCATCCAGGGGCTCAGGATGGTGTGCTTGGAGTCTGCTGAGGTGTTGAGGAGGAGGAAGGAGCCTGGAAAGAGACAGGAAAAGTGCATCTGCAGATGTGTCCAGGCAAAAGGACCAGCGGCAGCTCTGTGGCCAGACTTAGAGACCAAGAGCATCAAAGTCACAGATGTTTTCTGTCTCTCCTCTTCCCACACCCAGCCCTCTTCCTTCTCTCTTAGATTTTCTTTGTAAATAGCATGGCCTGATGCATGTGGATGGTGACTGGGGACAAGGGCCCTGTAACCAGGCAGACCAAGGTCCTAACCTCAGTTCCCTGTGTCCTAGCTCTATGTCCTTGAGCCCCAGGCTTTCCATCTATAAAACAGGAATAAAAACATGTATTTCAAGAGACTCTTGCTCCTTTGCTTACTACTTGAGTGATCTTGGACAAAGCATGAACATTCCTAGGTTTCAGTTTCCTACTTTACAAAATGGGGTGAAAAGGGTTGGCCGAACTCAATAATCTCTTAAGATCCATTTCAGCTCTTGAGTCTATGAGTCATGTGAATTTTCAACTGGTTTCCACAATGAAAGCCCTATAAACCATCCCAGCTACACTCCCACTAGTGCCGTGCCTGTGGCAGAGTTTCCCTACGGGGCAAGGCAGCCCGGGTTCCAAGAGCACAGGCCAAATGACCTACAAGAGACTGACATTCATGGGGATTACTGTCAGTGTAAAAGCACAGCACCATTTTATTGTTCCAGGCATTCCCTCTGATGCATTAATTTTATTTGGGGCACTTCCACATTGAGGTTTTGGACCAGATGCTCCTCCTTTTGCAGTGAAAACCTAGTCCAACAAAATGCCCAACTTCCCCAGTGGGGACCAGCTAATGGGCCCTAAGACTTCTTGAGCTATCCCTGGTGTTCGAAGGTCTTCCACAGACAACCTGGTTTACCAAATAGGTAAGTGAACTAGCAGCCTGCGATAAAGAACAACGTGGTGAAAGAGGGGGATTCCTACTAGAAGCAAGGCATTTTTAGAGAAGGTATTGTGACAGGAATTGGAGATTTGCAATATTCTTCAAACAGGTAAAAGTGACTTCCAGTTAAAATCATGATGAAGGGAGCACAAGACTGTTTCCGAGCTGGAACAGCAATGGGAACCCTCTGTGCTTGTTGGGAAGTTTCAGCATGGCATAAGGGCCAGTGTAAAGTACTCTACAGCCCTCAGGAAATAATCGATATTATTACCCTATTTTATAGGGAGGGAAATGTTCTTGTCATGGGCACTGGGAAAAGGAACCAAAGACTTAGAATCAGGAAGATCACCTAATACAGTCCTCTTGCTTCCCTAGAGAAGCAGACTGGGGAAACAGATGCAGAATGACTTGTCCAAAGACCTCAGGTCTGAACTTAGGGAAATGAGTATCTCTAGCGCCCATGAACCAGACATAGTTCTGGCCTTCAAGGGACTCCTGGTCTGCCAAGTGTAAAAATAGAGGTTATAAAGTCAGAACACACATACAGGTAGAACACTTTGGGAGGCCCCAGAAAGGAGACAGTAGGTTCAGGTGAAAGAGTCATAAAGAAGCGGCCTTTGAGCTAGTTCTTACAGTGGGAAAAAAAACACAAAGATATTGGCAGAACTGACCTTGCAGAAGTTGAGGGGAAGAGAAGTAAAGACATAAAGTGAGAAAATGTTTGGCTAAAGAGTGGGACACATAGATAGAAGACTGGGAAATGAGGAATGCCAGGGTGGCAGGGGGTGGGAACAGACCATAGACAGCATTGCATTTCTAGCTGAAGATTTCCGACTTTATTTAGTGGATAATAGGGAGCCAGATATTTTGAGCGGGACAGTGACACCATCAGAATGATGTCTCAGGAGGATTGATCGGGTAGGGTGGGGAAAGTGGGATCAAATATTGACTCAACTTCATCCTACTCTACCAGTCCACACTAGGGCAAGGAGGTGGCTAAATGCAAGTTCAAGGTGTTTGGTATGTCACTCTTGTAAGCAAAGGCAACGTGTTGGGGATGGGCTGGGATTTCCAGTACCGGGGTAGGGTGTGTCTGGCTAGAGCAGGTAAGCATCCTAGACATACCTCTGGGTCCTCTGGCCTCTAAAAGGACCACTAGCCAGCGTGGCAGAGGCAGCCACAGATCAATATGTGAGATACTACCCAGGGAATATTGGCAGTAACGGTTCAATCTGGACCTACCCATTAAAGGACAATTGTAAATTTTAAGTAGATGTCACAGACTCTGGAAACTTGCAGCCCAAAGTCAAATCACTTTGCTGTGGGGCAGAGTCCTGCTTCAGGCTCTTTGGAGTATGGTCGCCAATCCCATATCCTGTGACAATTTACACATAAGAGAGCAGTAACTGTGCTCTGGTCTGAGACCTTTCTCTAATGTCTTCCAGTTGGTAGAACAATGAGTAGAAACCATGATTTTTTTGTATCTACCAAAGGGAAGAAAGTGGGCACACAGAAGGAGGTGTCCCCTCTCCTTCTCAGAAAGAGGGAACCTCAAAAATCAGGCTGAAGCTGTTAGGGTGTTGGGGCCAGGGGCTCTTCCTGTGTCACTGCTCCTCCAGCACGAGTGTGACAACACATGGAAATTCTATTCCCGTAATCCGGTACCTCAGTAATGAGACTCTTTCAGAGCTGACTGGAAGACAGATTATTTTCCCAGTTCTAATATGTGAGATGATGTTTGTATGAATTTTATTTTCTGCAACTGGACTGTCAATAAGACACTGAGCTTAAAGTATTTTCACTCTCAATGAAACTCTATAGTTGAGAGCTATCTCTTCATCAGCGGCTTTCCTCCACCAAAAAAAAAAGGGAAAAAAATACATTTCATAAGCTCCTTGGGATATTGTCAGTATAAATCTTTTAAAGTCAGTAAGAATTTATCTCTCCTCTCCCTCTTTTCTGTTTCCTGTTTATTTTGCTCAGGCCAGCTTGGGGCGAGACGAAGGCTCCCGGGGTCCTTTCTCATTAAGGAGGACGGCCTGGCAGCACACAGACCTCCGCCCAGGGGGCCGTGGGGAGTGGAGACACGGATCAAAGAGCTCTGCTTACCCGGTGCCGGCACCACGCTTCTGCTGTCATCGGATCGTGTTGATGTGTGCAATGATTAAATATGAAATGGGTATTATTTTTACCTCTGCTCAGCAACATAGGGGATGTGTGACTCTCATCTCAACCAGCAAAGCTCAAACTATAGGCCAGCAACCAAGCATCATGAACCTGGAGGCCAGACAGACTCTTTCATATGTGACCTTATAGTCACAGTTATAGTATAGGCCTTAGACAAATTATTTAAACTTTTAAAATCTTAGTTTGCTCAAATTTAATATGGGCATAGCACACCTCCTGTGGCTGTAGGGAAGATTATATTAAATAACACGCATCACGTGGGTAGTACAGTGGCTGTACTTAGTAGGCAAGTCATAAATGTCATTTCCCTGCTTTGAGGGGTGTCTTAGTCTGGAATAACTTTGATCTAGCACTAAACTTGGAATCAGAAGGACTGAATTTGAGCCCTAGCTCTGCTGCTACCAAGCTTCCTTTGTTTATACAATGAAAGGGTTGGAAAGAATCTCTAAGGATTCTTATAGCTCCAAACTGTCAGTAATTCTATCTGCCTGCCTAGAATATTATTAATCTAAAGGAACTGAGTCAAGTCTCTAAGCCCCCAAGTCCTAAACTCTTCTTCTCCTAATTCACCTCTCTGAGGGTTATATACTAACAGTTTCAATCAATTGAGCAAACATTCTGTGAACTTTCCTGAGAAGTAAACCGTGATTCCCTGCTCTGCCTTTCTCTCTCCCATTTTACACAAATACATCCCTAGGAAGGGTTCTTGTTCTAGCATCATTTGTTTTTGTAGATGCTACTACTATAAGGCTGATACCAGTTCTATCTGTTATGTAACACAATGCTTGACACATGGCAGGTACTCAATGATGGCAAACAATCAAATAATAATACATTTTTAAAATCTATCTTTAAATCTTGTTCCCCCTAACCAAGTCCCCTACACTGGAAGAAGCATTTTAAAGGATTTCTAATTTCTTTAGGCAGCTGCCTTCATAATTCTAAATTTTACGATCATGGTGTTATTTGTGGGTGCAACTCTAGACTTTTTACATTGATGGTTCAATAAGAAAAATGATACCACATCTCTTCCAGTTCTTAATTTTTATAAATCTTGATTTTTAAAAGTCACCATTTTTAATTACTTATCTTTTTAACTTTGCATGATCCATTTATTACTTGCCTATAAGCCTCAGACAGCATCGCTTGATATCCTCACTGTGGAATGAGGCTAGTGGTTTTCCTGCCTCTCCTCATCCTTTTCTTCTGCCACATCCACCCCCCCCCCAGACCAGCTGTACTTAACTGTGCCTTGTCAAGGTTGTGTAAGAATGATTAAGTCTTTTTTACAGGTTGTAAAAAAGGGTTTTACAGGGTTTTGTTTACAGGTTGATGCTAAATGTTGACAATCAATAAACAGACCTTTTATACTGATGGATATATATTTTTTCACTGCAAGGAATAGGGTTATATTTATAATCTTCTCTATAGATCCAGTAATATTAATACATCCCATTCCAAGGAGAATGTTTTGAGAATCAGGACCAAATGAATTCTCTCTCTTTCTGACCCCCCACCCTTTCTCTCCCCCTCTTCTCTCCTTTCCCTGACCCTTGCTTTTTGCATTGTCATTTGTCAAAATTGTGGCACAATTTGCCTTATATTTGAATCAGGATTTTCTCATGTCATTTGTTTTGGCAGAAATTTTTGTTTTTCTTTTATATTTACTTTATATTTGCCTTCTTCACCATATCACTGACACTCCTATAGGCTCCTAGAGAAATCAGTCCCTTTTTCTTGAAGACACTGACTTCTTTTTTAAATTTGTACCAGTTGCTTTCTGGGTCTTCTGTATAAGGATTATTCTGGAATTTCTTTTCATCGGGACTTTGTGTTAGTCCCACCATCCTCAGAAAACTTCCTCAGGGAGACGTTTCTCTATGAATCTTTGAATATATGAAATATTTTTATTTCA